TTGCTCATACAGGGACAACTCAGCTTCACTTGAGCAAGGAGTAAAATTTTCAGCCTCCTGCTCCTCTTGCCATAATGGGCTGAGGAGCATTTGCAAAGGTTTCAGAAGTCATTTGGGCTGATTCATTTGACTTTGATATGCCTAGGAGTTGCTGTTTGGAAAGTGCTGAGGTTTGTCACCTAAACACCTGCCTCCTTCAGCACCAGGCAGTTTAAATCCCCAGTGACGTCTGAAACAGTTTAGCACCAGCATCAGGGTTTGAAACAATCACCTCTGGCAAAGTCTGCCAGCACTTGACCTAATGAAATAACCTGGTTAGCTCAGCTCAGTCATTACCTGCTGTTTCTTCCAGAAAACAAAAAGAAACCGAAAAAATAATGTGCCTTAGTTTCCCTTTTCATGATTCAGAGGTGATTGCACTGCAGAGCAGCCATGACCAATACAAAGAGAGTCCCAAGCAATGTCTGTCTGATGCTTAGACCACAATGGCTACAACAGTGTTAAAACAAGACTTTGATATTTCTGTTCAATAATGATTTGGTGCAGTAGGTTGGTAACTGATTTTCCACATTTTCTGGGTGCAAGAACTGGGAGGGTGTTTATTTAACCTGCCCTTGAGTCACAGTCCTGAGGGAGAGAGCTTACATTTCCCCAGGCATTTCACAAGTACATTTAGAAAAAAATAAGACTTGAAGGCATCATTTGTTGTAAGAAATCTCTTTGTGGTGCCATAAGCTGAGCAGGATCCATGCCTGGTACTGGTAGGCAGAGCCCTGTTAACTGGAGCGATGCTGATTCACCCCTGCTGGAGAGCCCCTTGGTTGACTGCACTGTTGCTATATTCAGAACTCATTTGGACACTTTTGACTTTACGCTTTCTAAAATAAGGCAATAAAGCAATTAGCAATAGATAACAGAAGGAGAGAGCCCTTCACCAAAGGAACATAGCATGGCATAATTAATATGGAGCTGGCAGCAGCAAAAATGAGCAGTGTCCCCGGGAACGTGGCTTCAGGCTGAGCTGCAGATGTCTAGTGCTCGAATGGCCGAGAAGCTCCTTTTGCCAGCCAGCACAGTCTGGCCCAAGTGTACAACTTTGGAGCAGATGGAAATAAAAGCATCCTTCAGAGCTGGGAGGGCAACCATGATCCTGCCAGTCCTTCACTATGTGTCAGCCAGAGGATTTATCCGACTGAAAACATGCTCCCACATCAAACAAGAAGGGGAATTAGTGTAACTAGAAAAGTAGGTGCTTTTTCAGGAAAAAATCCAAGAATGTCCTAAGTGGAGGACTAGGTTAAAAATAACAGAAATCTGCTGTGCTAGAGAAAGAATGAGTGGGCTTAGAGATAGGAGAGGTTGCACAGGGAAGGAGCTATCTCCGTCTTCAGTGTTATTCATTTTAATTTGCCTTGTTACGGTGTCTGGAAGTACCAGCTGAAAATCAGGGCCTCATTGTGCTGGGAATTGGGAGCAAACATAATGATTAAATGTTGTCAGTTCTGCAAAGGTTGAAATATAATTCTTCATCTCTGCAGCATCGCTATCCAGCATAATTATTGCCAAATAAGTTTTTCTGCAATTGCTCTTCTGGAATATCTGTGCTACTTGATTTCTGTCAAAATAACCATGCCTGAGGCGGTGAGAAGATGTATTTATACAAGGCCCAACCTTGGTAGCCTTCACAGACACCAGTAACTGGCCAGAGGCAGAATATTCTCAGTACTTTTTAGTACATGTTCAGAAATTATTTGCTTGGATCTTGGTTTTCCTTTCTATGAAATGGGAATAGTCACACTGCACTGATGTCTTGCTCCTGTCATCTAACACCCATGACTGGGGCAAGAGTCCTTTGTTAGACCCTTAGAGCACTGACACCAGCACATACAGAGGCTTGTTAGTGCTGATTGTAAAGATTAGGGATTAGTTGGAGCATAGCTGTTCTTCCTTGTGTGTTTTCTGGGGTAGCATTTGAACTGCTGAAGGTTCCTTTTCTATTAGTATTTTTCATTATATATTCATGAATACTTGTATAAAAACCAAAATGCAATTAAACAAGGAGTTAAAAACCTCCACAAACAACCCAACCCTCACTTGGCCACAGCATAAATGGGAAGCAACATAGCAACCTGTCTTTGAAGGAGTCTTCATGTGATGACCAAATCCCTTTGTGTTTCTGTGACACTTTGGCACAGAGGTTAGAGAGAAGCAGGATACACTGGGTGCATCCTTACAGCTTCAAATACAGTTGTTTTCTGGCCACAAGAAAATTCTTCTGTCCAAGCATAGTAAATTCTCCCTTGATCCTCACAGCAAGATCAGGTCTAACCAAGAGGACAGGAGTCCTGCTGGTCACCCACACCTCCCCATTGGGACTTGCACTGAAAGCAGCTCAGCAGCAACACCAGGACACTGCAACAATTGCCATGGACTTGCCTTTTCAAATGGCAGAGGGGAACCAGTGCATGCTAAAATTGAACACTTGCTCAGTTTTCTCCAAACAGCCATTGCTCTGCTTGGTACCCACCTGGGAGCCACAGGGCCTGGGGGCCCTGGCTTAGAGGAAGAGCTTGTTTGGATGAAAGAATTAAAATTACAATATCTCATTCTGCTGCTTGCAGAAATGGTGAATGAAAAGCAAAGAAAAGAGCCCCCAAAGATTGTGCATTTTAAAAAACAAGTAAGGAGATGAAAATAAACCCTCCCACGATTTTTAAAGCAGCCTTGGGACTTTTAGGGATCCCAGCTCAGAGGTTTAGAATAGCAACTACAGGGGAACATTTACAAGCAGCATTTTCCCTAATTTCCTATTCTGCCTTTTAATTCTTCCTAGAAAAGAATAGACACTTTGCATTAAAAGCAGCTTGAGAGATTAAGCAGGCAGAAACAACCCCTTGAGCTACCTGCAGCCTTGTGCTGGTTATTTTAAGTTTTGCCGGGAGATTGACCCAGTTCAAGTGGGGACGAAAGGTTACCTGAACATTCTCTCTTCACTGTCTGGTCTGTGGCAACTGGATTTTCCCCAGGCATGTCTGTGTGAAATGGTCTTGCAGTCCCCTCTGCTGGTGGCAGCTTACTGGGGAGCTGCACCGAGGCACTAGATGGGACGGTGCAGTGCTTGGCATCGATGGGCACTGCAGGAGAGCCCTCGAGGTGTGTGGATACCTCCTGCCCCATGCCCCCAGCACCCGCTAAGCAGGCACCAACTCCTCCAGCGACCAGGGAGCTTTCCCTTACCCTCTGTGCATCTTTACTATAAGCACCTGGCACCTCTCTTACACAGGACAGCAGCATGAGAGAGGGTGAAAAAATTAACCATGGATAGCCTTACAAAAACCAACCCTGCCTGTGAAAGTTGAGGCTT